GGCTATCAGTGATTAACAACTAAGAATATCTCACAATGGATATCAGTGAGTAACAACTGAAAATATCTCACAATGGGCATCAGTGATTAACAACTAAGAATATCTCATAATGGATATATGTGAGTAACAACTGAAAATATCTCTCAATGGGCATCAGTGATCAACAACTGAAAATATCTCACAATGGATATCAGTGAGTAACAACTAAGGATATCTCACAATGAATATCTGTGAGTAACAACTAAGAATATCTCACAATGGATATCTGTGAGTAACAACTAAGAATATCTCACAATGGAAATCAGTGAGTAACAAGTAAGAATATCTCACAATGGATATCTGTGAGTAACAACTAAGAATATCTCACAATGGATATCTGTGAGTAACAACTAAGAATATCTCACAATGGAAATCAGTGAGTAATTAAGAATATCTCACAATGAATATCAGTGAGAAATTAAGAATATCTCACATTGGATATCAGTGAGTAATTAAGAATATCTCACAATGGATATCAGTGAGTAACCACTGGGAATATCTCACAATGGATATCAGCAAGTAACAACTAAGAATATCTCACAATGAATATCTGTGAGTAACAACTAAGAATATCTCACAATGGATATCTGTGAGTAACAACTAAGAATATCTCACAATGGAAATCAGTGAGTAATTAAGAATATCTCACAATGAATATCAGTGAGAAATTAAGAATATCTCACATTGGATATCAGTGAGTAATTAAGAATATCTCACAATGGATATCAGCAAGTAACAACTAAGAATATCGCACAATGGATATCAGTGAGTAATCACTGAGAATATCTCACAATGGATATCAGTGAATAACAACTGAAAATATCTCATAATAGATATCTGTGAGTAACAACTAAGAGTATCTCACAATGAATATCAGTGAGTAATTAAGGATATCTCACAATGGATATCAGTGAGTGAAAACTAGGAATATCTCACAATGAATATCAATGAGTAACAACTGAGAATATCTTACAATGGAAATCAGTGAGTAACAACTGAAAATATCTCAACATAGATATCTAGCTGTGAGTAACAACTAATAATATCTCACAATGAATATCAGTGAGTAAAAATTAAGAATATCTCACAATGAATATCAGTGAGTAAAAATTAAGAATATCTCACAATGGGTATCAGTGAGTAACTACTGAGAATATCTCACAATAGGTATCAGTGAGTAACAACTGATAATATCTCACAATCTGAGCGAGTATACAATCAGATGTCATAATCTGATGACAGATTCATTGACTCATTCATTTGTTTATCTTCTAATTTTGTTTATCTTAATATTATAATGCTATTTCTTTCTACCTGCAGACTCAGTTAACAAGACTTACTGATGTACCACCGCTTGATTTAGATATGAACTTCATATGTCGATATCAACCTCACCATGGTTTACGCATATCAATTGATGGTGCTATGAATTTACCATGGACTAAATTTACACATGCAACACTATGCTTTAACCCACCTGGCAGCTTTTATTTCGTAAGTTTTATTTATTTGCCGTATACATTAACTTTGGGTTAAAATAACAAATGTCTTAATTAATTAGTGGCATCAATTGCATGTCAAATGAATTAACAGAAAAAGTACAGCCATATATAATTATTATGCTGTAAGTTGCATTTTTTCAAAAACTATAACTGTAGATTTTTATTTTTATTGACAGGGAAGCGACCAAGCAGCTTATGACAGGCTCATATTTACTGAAGAATTAGATTTGGACAGTAGTTTTTAAAGCACCTGTATGGCATGATAGCTGGCATTTATATCCAAACAGACATCTCAATAAATATCTGACTCTAATTATTCATCTACAAGAGATTGGTGTGACTGTACATACAGATAGATATAAGTATGGACTCATGGAACAGGTCAGTTTGTCATCATACTGCCCTCAATAGCAAGATTGAATAATAGGATAGGGGTATTGTAGAAAGATGACTGTAGATATGACTGCCTACTATGACATTATTTTTACTGCTGATAGTTTCCATGAATTTAACATCACAGAATTTACTTATATTTTCATTTTTTGAACCTGATCAGGGAGATTGTTGATTTGATTCCTGTATTTGGCAGCCCACTTGCCAGCTTTTGCCATTCTTTGTTGGGAGAATGACACTTGTCAGAATAGTAAAAATCACTGTATTCTTGTCACGAATTTCTGTGTAATAAATCTTCACCCTTATACAATGTAATAAATTGATATCATGGATATTGTGATTTCAGGCCTGGACAGCAGTTCAGATCTTCACAGAGCAGTATGCCATCACTGATACATTTCAGTTACCTTTATATCAAGGTAGTCCCAATCCTGAGATATTAAATATACTAAGCAGACAACCATGTAAAGAGGTACTCCGTGCTAACGTAAGTTTTAGCTGCCAAACTTGCTTTAATTTCACAGATTTTCTAGCAGTGAACATTTCACATTTCATAAGTGTCTTATTCATGAAGATGTGAGACGATTATTTTATTTACATTTTAAAACTGACACAATCTTTCGATGAAGAATTCTAAAATTGAATTAACTGTATATAGAAAACATCCATCCTGAATAGTTGTTTGTGTTTATTGATGACAGGCCAAACCAGCTGAGAATGGGTCTGTATTTGTGAGAATTGCTGATGCTAGAAGATATGAAGACATTCCCACACCACTGGTCAATGCAAATACTGAATACATTCTACCACATAAACTTGCTGATTTCACAAAAGAAATACCATCTAAGCCATTAAGATCATTGGTACCTCAAGGCAGGGAAGTCAGAGAATTTGGAATTAGTCTGGCTACAAAGTTTCGAAATGTAAGTACAATAATTATATTAACACTGTGGTCCATATTTAGTCTTCCCATGATGGCATTGTTAAGATGGCCCCAAACATGCATAATTTTTTGTTATAAATTTTGCATGTGTTGATGAGTTGATTCAGAATTGTATGCACTTTTTTTTTTTTTTTTACAAATGACTCAATTTGCATACAATTGGTTATTACTTAATTGTAGCTAATTCAATAATTCAATTAGAGCTTCAAATAGAAATTTAACGGTACCATATGCATCTTCACCATAGCTTGAATAACTTAATATTATTTTACTCTCACATAACTTTTGAAGAAAAATAATGTTATAATTTCTTGTAAATCAGAAATATTTTTTAGAGGGGATGAATAGGTTTATTAAATTTTAAGAAAATGAAATATATATGTATATCAAACCTTAGCCTAAAGGTCAATGTCTGGCAAA